ACGATGCATTCTCTTCAGCAACTCCATTCAGTTCATCTAGATCGGATGTAGAACAAACTGATGACATTCTGCTACGCTCACCACTAATAACCTCAGATTTGCTCCCATCAGGATTTTGCCGTTTCTCCTGCTTATTATGCTCATTATTTTCTCCATCAGGATCCTTTTTCCATTTTAAGGCATTTCACACCAGATTCAATACAAGCAATAACATTGTGATGAGAAAGTTTGTGAGACTGCTGGTGGGGAGCAATCCGTGAATTCCGAGGACGTTTATAACCATATGACAAACACATGTTCACGCTAACCGAATGCCGGAATTCATCAATCGACTCTCGTATATCAAACGGTTGACCTTTCTGAACTATTTCCCCTTGTTTCCTTTGTAAACCTATAAAGAAGGCACAGTAGGCACATGGCTTAAATGCATCTACATACTCATGAAGATAAGGATGGCACTACAACTTTCCATTAGTGTCTCGCTCAATCATCAAAGTAAGATTCCTTAGCAGTGATTCCACCCAGCCTTTCCAAGCACGCAAGTCATCGCCATCCGCTGCAACAATGTCAACTTGCAGTTAGTCTTTGTAGCTTTGGAAGAACTTATATGGCTCAAGTAGAGCTGGGGACGGATCTAGGTTTAAACTAATAGGGTAAAAATTAAAAAAAACCTATCATGTTCATGTTCATTAGTATATATATAACATACTTTTTGTAATTTATCAAAGTTAAAGTAGGATATTTTTTTATATCACAAAATTCATCAATAATTGAATTTGTGTCAAACTTTTCAATAATATTTCTTTTAATATAAATAACTATACAGTCAGTAAGAAAATTATCTTTCATTTTATTTCTAATCTTGTTTTTTATGATGTTCATAGCTGAAAGTGACCTTTTACTCGTTGTCGTTGAAACTTATTTTTTTTTAAAAAAACTTTTATCGCTTAAAAATGTAATTTCTTTTTAATAGTTTTTACTATATATTTTATTTTATCTTGGGTTATTCCATTATTGTCTTGGGCTCCTGGGTTTATAAGTCATATTTCTATGGATTTCTTAATTGGTGCTTGTTATTTATTGATGGGTTAATCTTTAGAGTATTGGTCTGTTTTCATAAATGATAAGTATAAGCCTTGACATCTGTTTCATTTTGACAGGAGGTTGGGATAAAAACATGAGGGGCCACTTGTTTTTGGAAAAAAAAAAAGTACATATAAAAATTAGAAAATTTTCAATGGTGGGGGGCAAGCACCCCTATGCCTCGGTATGTATCCGTCCCTGAACAGAGCACTCCATTTTACTCTATTCAGCTGAATCTCCTCAAAAATGTTGTTACCATATTGGAATTACTCAATCATGACTCGAAGGGTGTTTGTGGACATGTTATAGCTAGAATTTATGCATGGATAGGTAGGCGTAATTATTGGCAGAAGATAAGTCCTATCTGGAGGATTTTTACGAGGATCTCATATAGAAAATCCAAGTTGATCTTCTTCAATTGCACAAAGCATAATCGGGGTCTGGCAAACGCCATAGACTATAGACTTTAAAAATTCGTGAAACAAGCATACTTGAAACTGCCATTAGGATAAAGCTAGCAAACTTGAGCCACAAGAAGAGCCAAATTAACACTACCAAGAAATCCAGTCACATTGGAGTAAACACCATGCCTTTTAGTCCAGAACTTCAGAAATTGGAGTGTTGTGTGAAAACAGCCGACATTTGGAACCGCTTTCTAAATTTGATTTGCAACTCGACTACCATTAAGACTTGGAATAGTAAGCTTATCAACATTGCAAAAGACCGAATGTCGAGATCTTGATGCACAACCAAAGGAGAGATTCTTTGCATAAAGAAGGTCAATTGATATCCCATCAAACTTAAATTTCATTACAAAGATATGAGAATCTGGAACCAGTTGTAATTCTGCAACTTCTTCCCTTTGTGTCAAGATATTGTGAGGTACAACAAAGAAATCATGCTTTCGGTTCACCTAGGATGATCCCACACATAAAGTATCTACGTGAGAGCCAAGTCCATATACCCTAAGTCGAAAAGAACCGAAGGTAAAAACGACTGCATTAGCATCTTCAACCATCTGATCTGTGTAACCCCTCAAACGAGTAAGTTGCTTCACCCAATTTGTTACAGTGTCTTGAATTCGATTGAGAACTTCTCTCTTCGCAACTTCTTTGCTCGCATACAGCCCAAATTCCACAGAAAACTTTTTTAGTTCTCGACTTCTTTGTATATCAACTTTGGTGGAACCTACCATAGATATCACCTTTGTTACACTCTATTGCTTCATTGGCACTATATTACCGATGGTGACGAACCACTTAATGCCTCTGAACTCGCCATCTGCATCTCTATCTATCACTTCGCCACTCGATTCTTGAACGATTGGTCAACAACGAAAATTAGTGCAAATGATAATAAATCTACTTTAAGATGGATATTTACATTAGAAGGTAATGTCACTAGTTGGATATTTAAGAACAAATTTGCATATCACATTTAACAATAGAGTTTGAGTTTATTATTTTAGCTGCAACAAGTAAAAAAGCAGAATAGTTGAAAAATTTATTATTAGATATAGAGTTGAAACCTCAACAGATGCCAATCATTTTTTTATACTGTGATAGTATTGCTGCAATGTCTAGAGCATATAATGATGTTTATAATGAAAAATCTAAATATATTAGTTTAAGATGTGATTATATTAAAGAATTAATTTCTAGTTGGGTAATTATTATAACATATGTTAAATTTACAAGTAATTTGGTAAATCTTTTGACAAAAGATTTATTAAGGGATTTTGTAAGTAGTACTATAAAAAGAATGAGTTTAAGTTCTCTATTAGACACTAATAGTAAGAACCCAACTTTTAATTAATAACCTCTAATTACAAAGTTCAATAGGTAAAAACAAGTTATTGTCATATGTCTATGATGTACTATTAGAACCTATTCCACAAAATTTTGTTTAAAGATAGTGCGGTCCATTGCGTATAGAGGTTGAGTGTATATTCCTAATGGAGTTTGAATATTATATTATGGAAAGAAAATGTCTAAGAGCAATGGAAACATTAATGAAAACTCCACCTACAAAAACATAAAGAGTGGTGTCATTTCAACAAGAAGAATTTGGAGACGCTCTTGTAAATGTTTATTATAAACAAGATAAGCACATAGCCATTATGGTACTAAAAAGTGAATGACCATTTATAGAAATATAAATGAATATTATGTATGTCGTATCTTCAATTTTAATACTAAGAGTCGAGATTCAATTTGCGGATACCATCAATTTTGTTAGGGTTCTAAGATGCATTCGCAAATTGATAGTCAAAATCGAGAGACATCTTCTTGTATGCGTAATATTCGTTTGTGTAAAAGGTAAGAACAATATATATTTATATTTTATAAGAAAAATCAATATTTCAAACTAGTGGGAAATTGTTAGTTTGTTAATGTTGATCTTATTAATGAAGAGTTGTGACTAAAGAGTTATAAATAATTATCTTATTAAATATAACTCTTTTAATACTTGTTCTATCAAAGGTTATTAAATATAACTTTTGAATAGTTATATTATGAAAGAAAACAATTTTCGAATTGTCATATTATGAAAAAAAAAACAACTTTTTATAATTCAAAAATATTTTTGTTCGTTTATTATATAAATAATGTCATTATGTTATCATTTTAATTTTAATAAGTTTTTTATTCACGTCCTCAAAGTTATATTCTTCTTCTTTTCAAATATTTCTAGCAATGATTGAGGTAGATTGTGAGTAAAAATGGTATGCCGTTGTTGTCAAAGTGTATTGGAGTTGGTAGAGTTGGTATGGAGAGTTCTTAGTTTTTGCATAGCCTTATCCCCTACCTAGCAAGCTTACTAAGTGGGGGTTGCTGGGTGATTTGGGTCTAGACAGGAGTTTCATAGTGCTGTAAATTTGTCTTTCTCCACTTGGATGTAGGATGGTCATGTTTTTCTCAACCTTCTACTCTATGTAAATGTCTTTTATGTAGTTTTTCAAAAAAGAAAAAAAAAACCTAATATTCTTATCTTATCTAAGTTTTTTATGTCGGTTTGCCTTCTACTTTTATTTTTGTAAATGGTATTAATATTTAAATTAAAATGTTTAAAATATTTTTTTCTTTTTTTACTTACTTTTGGCCGGCTAGCAATATTCTCTACTTTAACCGACCACCTCGTAATTGAATCTGGCTCAAATCCGACCAGATTTATCAAGGAGCATTAGATCTGGTGCTCTCTAAGGAGCATAGATGCCTAAGGACTGCTGGATCTGTGCTCCCTGGTGAGCACACACAAACGGTGCTCCCCAAGAATATCACCTTGGGTGCTTCTTAGGGAGCACCGATCCACACTCCCAGACTGGTGCTCCTAGGGAGGGAGATCCTACCAGAGCCAATTCTGACACTCCTTGACCAAAGGGGAAGAGGTAGGGATATGGTTTTTTTAATAAAAAAATAAAAAATAAAAAATTATACTTTATAATATAATAATTTTTAAAATTAATAAAATATAAAATTATCTTTTTAATATTATCACGTTATTAAATTAACGAAAATATTAATAATGGATTAATAGCTGAATTTATGTATGTAGCAAAAGATTTTTTTTAAAATAAAATACCTATTTAGAAAATTAATAAATTTATACGAAATTATGACTAAAAGTTAAAAAGTTAGGATATTTTATCAAAAAATAAAATTAGAGGACATGAGGCTATTTTGTCATTGAGGTAACAGGTGCAGAGCACACTATACTCAAATAAACAAGTGAAATTTATTTGATATCACCACACTGCTGAATTCAGAACTGATATATCAAGCTGTGTGATTAGTTAAGCATTTTGATCTGTATTTCGGACAGTACAAATGAAATTTGGATAAAGTCCTTCCAACCATCCAGGTAATGGGAACAGCCATTTCATGGATCCCTCCCCTTCCCCATGATTGCTTAGGGTTCTGTCTACATATCAATGATATAGATTGATAAGAGTTGCCATGTTAAAATCCTCCCAATCTTCCACACTCCAACCCATCCTTCTTCCCTCACGCTGCTGCTTGAACTTGTAGAGGTGCCTGTAACTAAATGTTACAACCGCGAAACAGAATCAATACCAATGATGATAATAATAATAATACTGACAGCCGAAAACACATGAAGAATTGGAGATAACTTTGAACTGATAACTTGTATAGCTGTAGACATTTATCCTAACTAAACTAGTATTTACTATATATATTATGACTTGGAAGGCAGGATTACCGTCCACTGCACTACTATTACCCTCCTCGAATGTGGCAGCAAATTGCTTAAAAACCTGAGCATCTGTAGAGTTTGGAGGCAAGTGAAGAAGCTCTGCAAGGAAACAGAAAGGATAGTAAAACGATAAAATCAAGAGACGGATGTTGACTGACTGGATTTATTTGCTTCTGCTTTGATATTTCTGAACCACAAATAACAAAAAAATACAGTATTGAGACAGGAAATCACATATTTAAACCCTTAAGGGACATTTGTTAAAAATGGAAAAATGTAACGCAAGTGGAGTGGTGTACCTGGGCACTCAGAAGCATTAGATGGAGCGTGGCAAATGGAAGGAAGGATCAAGGCTAGGGTGGCATTGACCTTGAAACCAAGGTCAGGGTCGTTTCGATCCGCAACCAGGAGGCACAAACACTTCTTCGTCTGGTTCAATATTTTTCTGAGGTTAGTGCAACATGTGGGATCAGGAACTTTAGTCTTTCCACCAATAAAAGGGATGCATGTTGAGACAGCAACTAGTTGGTTAGAACATTCTTTTTTGTCTTCAGCCAAGTCTGAACTTACACAGCTCAGCAGTATCAGGAATATGAAGCAACAAAGGGTTACTCTAACACTGCTTAAAACCCCCATTTCGGAGAGATAAGGAGAAGTGAGGAGCGAGGTGGGCTTCAAGTTGTAAGGGAACTGAGTTATATACATCGCAAGTACACGAACTTGATTTGGTGAAAAAGAGGAGTTATTTTCCCTCGTAGATTCTAGATTTTTGGGATATGGAAAGATAGACATGTCTTAAAATTAAAAGAGCAAGTTTGAATGCCAACCAATTATATTCGAACTAGTGTATCTGACTATGAAATGGGTTTTGACTTTCAGCCACAGAATAGAGCATGATTGGACCCAGGTTGATTGTAAGGTTGAAAATAATAGGCATTGACGGTCATTGGCAACCGAAACCTCAAAAATATAACTTGTTTAACCATTCGTAAGTCTAAAGGATTATTTTTGCTTAAACGAGCGTATTATAGCGACCTCTTGTGAGAGAGATCGATCATGCCAATGGAATTACGGTTGCAATTTGCAAGAGAGAAGAAAAAGGCAAAAAAATTGAATATTATTCCTCGGAGACGAAAATGCAACATGGAACTTGAGATGAAAGGAGGGCCATTTGCTTTTCGCAGGGAATTTAAAGTACAGGGCAATTGACTAATTATACTGAGCCGGTGGACATTTCTATTGAAAAAAGAAAGAAAAGAAATTGACAAAGGCATAATGATTTTTCTATGAAACAAAGGTGTGACATAGTACAAAGCAGCAGATCACAGCAAGGATCCCTCAAAGAGATACCTTAAAACACAGGGAGCACGATCTACCATTCTTACAATAACTTATCTGTATCCATCGGCTTCTCTGGGCCATTTTCTTAGGCGTCTCCAAGACCTATACAACATGCAGCAGCTTGATATAATGTATGTTTTTGTGATTCAATATCAATAGTGGTAGCTGCCAAGATGAAAAAAAAGAATCAAGGATAGCAACAGCATACCTTAATGTGTCAGCGTCTAGGCCTAGGCATGCACCGAAATTCAGCTAGCAGTGCTATATGATCGGACGACCACTCTGGAG